TTTTTCAAAAATATTAAAATGCGTCTGAAATATAACAAAATCTGTTATAACCACTGATTCCTTTGCCGCGAAAGTTGTAATTGTAATTGACAATATGTGGCTTGATGTGATACTCGATACCGGATGTGTGACCTTCAACTTCGCTTGTGTCTTCGTGGTGCACGACAGATCTTCAACTGTATTTTCGTTTGGCCGATTTAGATCGGTCTGTATAGCTATCCCTTTTTTACATTTGCGTTTCGCCGGCATATTAGCAAGTTTTTTCGCGTGGTTTCTCGCATGTACGGTTTGTGATAAACTGATGATGAGTGAATGACACTGAAAACCCTTGCCAAAACACACTTTACTAATTTTAATCCGATTACAGTTCGAGGTGATACCAGAGAGCGGAAAAACCCCGCCAAACCTAATATCGTCTTTTACGGAGATTGAAATATTCTCAGATTGTCCCCACAAAAATTGTTCAGAAACGCGCACGTTTTATCCGATTCCCTCCAAACTTTGCCACAATGTTGAACAATATTACAGCAGCAAAACCGTGTTCGCGCTTTTTATTTAGTGCCATACTTTTCAAGTTATAGGCATCTGTTCTGCCGTTCTCCCAAAATTTAGATGAGTCAACTTCTCTGCTTTATATCAAAGCAACTATAATACCTGTCAAAAAACGCGAACACGGTTTTGGTCTTTCATCATTTGAGATGGGAAATATTATGTTTCGGAAGCCTTTGAGGTAAATCAGAAGCGTTCTAATCTCGTGGCGCAAAGGCCGTCATATTTTCAAAAGCAACCCATAGCAAGTACAGTTTTTAAAGGTGTAGAATTTTTGGCAAATCTTTAGCTACAACAATGATTTATCATTATGCATGCAAAATTTGAAGGGGAAAACTTGAAAATTGAGCGCGCGGTGAGCATTTTGGTGAAATGGGTTTCCATCATGTGGAGTAACCTTAAACTTGAACACAAAGTTTAGTAACAAATGCTGGAAAATGTGGTCACACTGATAAGGCAGGCACAGTTCTATTAAGCTTTGAATATTGTAGTCAAATATTTAACACTATTTACATAGCATATACAAGATTGCTTATACACGGAAACTAGTTAGTATATGCATGGTAATTAAAATTGTCGTAATGTCTATACATACCAATTCTTCCCAAGTCATGCAACGTAACATGCTCGAGGACACCTTTGCTTGGTTTTGCTTGATATCTAATGGAGCCGTTGTGAACTGGATCCATTTGTTCTGGTAGTTCTTTCCCAATATTTATTGCTTTTTCTTCAACTTCGTTTTTAAGCAAGAGGATTTCTTCGTCGCTTCCATTGGAGATGATATTCTTGGCAAAATCCAGCGAGCTTTTCGCCTTTTGAAAATAGGCTTTCATGTCAGCTTGTTGTTTCATCAGGGGTTTGCTAGCTTCGTTGTATTTCGTGTCGATTTGGTCAAGCAAGATTGCCGTTCTCTCCTCGACTTTCTTGGTAAGAACATTCAGGATATCCTGTTGTTGTTGTATGATGGCGTCTTTGGCTTTCATTGTGTTATTGTTTAAGGCTTCCATAACGTGTTCTATCTTCTGATTGTTTTGTAGAGCCTTGTTCATTTGCCGCTCGAAGATAGCAGACGATTTCATCAACACTTCTTTGTGCTTTAACACAACGTCTGCCAAAGGGAACCACAAATGTTCCAAACGTGCGTGATTGACGTCCACGCAGTATCGACAAAGAAGGACATTGCATGTTTCGCAATAAAACTTGAGAACTTTATTGTGTTTCTCACAACGAGGTTTGTCTCTTGCTTTCGCTCGATTTTCTGGCTTTGCTAATTCTTCCAAGGTCAACACGACATGGTCTTCAAAGGCAAGCCAGTTGTTGTGGACTTCTAGACATTTTTCACACAGATAGCTCTCACATGATATACATCTACTGGCGGCAGGATCTTTGGCTTTACATGACTGGCAATTAATATGGTGGACTTGCTGCTGTAGAGTAAGTAATTCCAGCATGTTATTGATAAAGTGATTTGACGGAATTTTCTCGACGCTTTCTCCTTTTTTGATGTGAAACTCGGTTCGGCATAAAGGACATTCAAAGACCTCTGGTACCTTGGCTTTCTCTTTGACTGCTTTCTTGCGGTGAGTCGCAACAAAATTCTCCAAACAGTGTTTGCAATACGAATGGAAGCATGACAATGTTCGTGGTTGAGTTAGAGTTTCATTGCAAATAGAACACTCTAACAGCGTCTCCATTTGCTTCACAGGAGAAAGATTTGACGCAGCAGCCATACTGCTTTGTGTTTTTGCTGGCACTTTCGTTTCTTGGCAAATCAAACAGCGGAAAGCACAGAGACAGAGTTGAGACCGCTTAGAGACATACTCTCGGGCGGAAGCGAAATGTGAAAGCTTACACTGGTATTTACCGTATTTTACCAAGAAACGCCTTTTCAATTTAAATATCTGTTATTTCATTGGTTAACCACTTTGGAATTTTGTTTCAATTTGTAACTGGTCAAGCATTCAATTCCATGAATCTGGGTTAAACGTTATTATAACAGCGTTTTATTCCAATCTTGATAATCCCCTACGCGCGCTTTGCCCGCATACTTAAAAAGAATGCATTGTATTTTAAATACATTTTATTCCATCAATTTTACTATTTTAGTAACATTGGCTAGACATGAACAAATGTGTTATTATTTCATGAAACATTATATGTTGACCTTTTAGCCTATTGCAAAATTGTCATTGGTTTAGAATTATTGCTTTCGCAATCTCAAATGTAGCGCCACTTCCTTTAAAGACCATGTAAAGTCCGTTCTGCGCAGGCTTACATTCCAATAGTCGGGACCCGACCGTTGGAATGTTATTAATATTTCGTATCTTTTAAACTTTCTTGAATTGAATCTCTAGTCTAGATCTGTATTCATTTTCAAGCATAGCGAACCAGAAGAGTGTTAAAAATTCAATAGAATATATATCTAATCATATTTTACAACTGTAGCACTGAGTTCAAAATGTAAATAAAGCGTTTGTTTACATTACGGACTTTACATGGTCTTTAAAGATGTGTTCGCTATATATAACTATGTCCATGTCTATGCACATTTTGAATTTGTGTCTTGCCAGAGAAAAACACGTCGATTTTGAATATCAGTTAACTAAGCACTTTACAATAATGTCGATTGTCGATATATAATACATCACGAGTTTCTGACTCTATTCCGATTAAAAACAAACTAAACTTTCCTCATTTTTGAAACTCTGTCCTTTTTCAAATCGTGATTCCCCACGCGTCACCTTCAACACGCAATCATAGAACTTGTTCATTTCATGGAGTTAGCATTCCAGTTTACACAGTATAGTTTGACAAAATCATAGTTTTTCCTTCACTGACATGCAAATTGTCACCAACTGCATGGCTGGTTTGACACAAAAGCACGTTCTGCTTTTATTTTATCTATTTTACAACTTGTATTAATATAGTTCTACAGTTAACAACATTTGCGTTTTAAAATATTGTTTGTTATCAAATATATAACTTCGGCACAGGTGATTTCGGTATGAACGACACAATGATACAATTCACATCACGTGATAGAGATCAAACTACTTACAATAACATTACTAAGACTAGACCGTCTATTTACATATTTTGACGAGTTTTTCAAATTATTTAATTTAATTATTTTGTAATTTCAAAGTATCAATTAGTAAATGTCCCAATGTCCCACTAGTAGCTAAATGTCCCAATGTCCTTCACAATGCTTCGGAAATAAATTCCACAATTTCTCTCTCTAAGGGATAAGATAGAAAAAGAATATTACGGTAATTCAGTTGTTGCCAACTTTTTCTCTTGATTAATTCCAACTTATTATACAATTTTATACTACTGAAAAGTATGCTAAAATTCATGTATTTGTTGCGTCATCGTCACAACCTCGTTCTTGGGCACTTTCCTATCACTAGATAGGACATGTATAGATTAGAATGTGAATTGCGGTTGCAGATAAGCGAATCGTGCCACAATCATGTTATTTGAAGTACTCTTACATCTGAAGTACTCTTTATTGATATTAAGCGCTGACAGAGTTGCAAAAAAGCTGCAGATACCATGCACCCGCGAGGAAGGTTTACCATATGCGAAGTCAGTGAGGAAGGTACAATGTGGAACACTTAAGATTAACACCAAACTGGTCAGTAGGAAATAAGAAAGAAATCTTTTGAATGACATTATTTACATATTTTGCAATTCGAGGAAAAGGAAAAAGCCATCTGAATTCCATTATCAATTCAAGGTCTGAAAACGTAAAGGAAGGTTGAACACATTCTTCAGAGCTCTTCTATATCTATTTGATTTGATTTCCAAGTTGTAACTGACTCCCTCATAATACGATCGTGTTGTAAGGGCGGTGATGAACTTTAAAATCCTCGCACTCAGACGCATTAGCTGTCACACATAGATTAGTGGTTAATTTAAAATCATTTGAGTTGCCATATCAGTTCTATATATGTACTCAGAACCTTGATGACATTGTATATGATATTTGTTGTGTTTATACAGCACTCAATATACCATATTAAAATGTCTTTACGAGATTATTTTATACGCGATCATCCATAATAAAGCAATAACGGCACACACAATTGCCATCCATTCAGTTAATAAATTACATTTTCGAGGTTAGAATGAATTTTTGTCACCTGTCCAAAAACGGGCGCAAGTCTCTTTAGATTGGAAATCAAGTCAAAATATGTGTGGGGAAGATTGAGATAGCAAAACTTTTAAATCGATAGAATTTATACAGGTCTATAAAATAAACAATACTTTACCATCATTACCACTTGGGATTAGAATCACAAGTACATACTCCAGATTACCATCAGTTGAGCGAATGATTATTAAGAATAAAAGAACCTCTCGTCTAAAAAATAAATAAAAATCCTTCAAAATTTTTAAATTTAAAATGTTTCCAAACATGTACGTATATGAATAACTATACGAAGGCAATTGAAAACGTAGTAACTAGTAGTACTATAACTTATCGAAAGCTTCGCAATAATTAAACAAATAATGTTCTACAA